ACCTTCTCCGCTCCCACGGCACAACACAATGCTCCGGTGCTCCGCCTCCGGCTTCGCTGCTCCGACTCCGTCCGGCGACTCCTAGGCGCCCCCGCTCCGGTGCTCCACCTCCGCCTTCGCCTGCCTCAACGCCTTACAAGATCTGCGAGAGGAGACGCCGCCAATGGCGACCTAGGGTTTCGGCCCCTCCACCTGCGCCGCCCCGCCGCCGCCGTTGGGGACAAATCCGTCTGCTCCACCCCTCACCGATCTACGGCTCCCGTCGTCCGCCTCCGGCTGCTCTCAATCGAGCCAGTCGCCGCCCCGGAGCTCCGCGTGTGCCGCCTCCGACATCCCCCGTCCACGAACCCGGGCGGCCGCAAATCTCCCGTACCTCCGTCCACTATCCCCCCCAAGCAGCCGCACCCCTCCCCAGGCTCTCAACCAGGTTATGCTCTCCACCACCTGGTTCTTCATTCATGGCCAAAGGAGGGTTTACTACTGTAAATGGGGGGAATTCCGGAAATAGCTTCCGTTTTCCTGATTCAGTGGCACAATCTGTGGTCGCTGTCCAGCAGGTCGGAGCGGCGGCGGTTGCAAGAGGAGAGGAGGAGCGCGCGCGAGAGCTGTACCCATGTGGTGGCAGCATTACCTCCTCAACCACGTGGGCGATGACAAGACGCACTTCGTTGCCGTGGCTACGGGTGGTTTCAGGCACAGCATGGTCAGTTAACTTACTTAGCCCTTCCTCGCGACAGCTCTCTCCTTCCAACTTTTATGAGGGTTTTGGGGTACGGTGGCAAACACCCATACACGCTAGGAGAGTCTGATGTTGGGGGTCTGATGTTGTACAATGCAACGAAGTCCAAGTTACCATGGTTTACAATTTCGTCGAAATTTCTTGAAACTAGATGACCCGTTGCGCCAATAGCGCAAAGGGCGACAACAAGCCAAGTATTGTAAGAGTGGTGATAGGAAAATTCACGCACAGATTGAAATAATAAATACTTACTGCTGGTAGATAGATACTTAGTGACGATATATAGCGTTATAAGAAGTTTTTGATCAATTATCTACAATGTTATTAGGAAACAAGGTAGATAGCCAGCGATACATCTTATGAGGCGACGAACATTAGATGGAGTCATCGTTGCACGTTTCATGGATATTGAAAACGGCTTTGTTGTCCAGGCTACCTTTATTAGTGCTATAGCCTGGTTTTGTTCAAAACACCGAAAATACAAGCGTATGAGGACAGCAACAGGGTAGCAGTCTTCACTTGTCCTTGCGGGTGGTGGTTTTAGTAGCCAGAGCGAAGGTTGTGAGGGCCAATTTAGCGAGCTTCTATATACAAACAAAGCTGATGCAAAAGACAGTATAGCTCATAAGGAAAGAGATCAACATGGCATTGGCAAGTTTATAAGATTTAAATTGCCACTGTAATAAAGCCCATTATATAGTGTATCAGTTGCATGGATGCACAAGGAAGAGATACACCAGTGAAGGAATTTAAAAGGATCTAACAACATTTATGGGGTTTTATCATTTTAAAGTCAACAGATTGGAAAGCATGACAATGTTAAAATAACCAAAAGCAAGGAATGAACAACCCGGTGAAGGGATTATAAGCTGCAGGAATAGACGTACCACACATGCATGCTTATCTGAAAACTTGGATCAGACACTATTTTAGCATTTTTGATGAAATGATCTCCGCAGCAGCAGCAGCAGCAGCAGCGCTAAAACTTCAAAAGGATTACATGAAAAACACATACTTGTGGTCTATATGAACAGAAACAGAAATCCAACAAAGTCAAATAAAGAAACAGAAGCATGGAAACTCTAATTGCTATAGGAAAATAAGCTTTATTGTACGTGGGTTTCGTAGCGCTTAATTTTGTACGATCCATGCGCCGACTGCCAACTTGGACAGGTAGTTAGCAGTGTATTATGCTTAATTGTATAGAAAGGGCATACGTGTTAAGCTCAAGTGGCTTAGCAACTGTGGTTTCCATCGTGTTAGGAGGCGTAGTAGCAGGAGCATCAGCATCAATATCAGTCAGTTGAGAACCCTGCGAAAGGGTGAAGCTAAATTATTGGGAACCATGCAAGAGGAAACCAACAAAGATAAAGAGGGAGCTAGATCCAATAGAAATACTAACAGCGATTGAAACAAAGGAATTTATGAAAGTTGGTGTGACCACCCGGTCATGATGCTTCTTTTGCCAAACAAGGATACGCGCATGTGGCAGCTCCCTCTTCTGAAACTCCACTGTGTGGATAACTGAAAAATAGGAAGTTAAATGAAAAGCGGTAAAATTAACATACATGGCTAAGAAAATGTTTAATAGGGGAGTGAAGGCACTGGGTATAGTACCAGCAACTACAGGCCCAAACATCCTCCCGGTCCTGATTTTCTGTAGGTACTCAAGAAGCTTCATGCGATACACTCGAACGGTAATGTCAGCCCTATCGACTGTTTTTTGCCCAGGTTCAATACTCCCCGTTATTTCAGCCACTTTGGACCCGTTGCGCCCATGGCGCAAAAAGCGAATGCAAACCAAGTACTGGAACCATGCAAGTTAGAATGATCATGACCCGTTGCGCTCCTAGTACTTAGATGGCATTTTTATATGCATCAAACATATTTAGTGGATTTAAATACCATGCAAGTAGATAAGTATAGATAGCATATTTATACATAATGGTTGGTAGTACGGTTCATGGTAGCATGATAGCCCAAAATCATTAAGCGTAAAAGCAAAGTTTAAGGTAGTTTATGATAGCTTATTTATACTGTTTCTATAGAGTGGATGACGAAGCTTCATAGAGCTTGATCAGAACGCCATGCCATCTCAGTCCCTTGTCTGGTGCGATGCATGGATTTGTGTAGGAATATCTGCATATAATGTGTTTCTAAAAAAAGTGAGAAAAAGACATGTGGGGTGTGCAAATGACCGCCTGAACACGCCCAAATGTTCATGGGTCTTTTGGTTTAGACATGCCCCAAATGATGAATCAAACATGCAATACATCCCCTAAGGTTCAAATCAAATAACTTGCTTCTATACGACCCATGGATGAGAGCTTCTAGCTGAGTAATGAATCATAGAACTGTAACTAAGCAGGCAATTTATCTTATTAGCCTTTTCCAGTGGATTGCTAAGCTACTCGGCAGAAACATTTTTAAAATGCTTTCTATATTTGTAGATTGTATCTTTTTTCCTTGGCATAAAAACATTAAAATTGAAAAAAATTCTTTAGTGTGTAGCTTTTGCAAAAGAATTACTTCATGAATAAACAATTATGTGTGCCCTATATTCAAATTTATGCACCCCAAACGGCTACTGCCCTCGACCAAAATTCTCAATTTCGCTACAAGATTTACTCAAGAAGCAACAATGAGACCATATTTCCTGGCAAAAAAGTATTTACAATGAAAGATTTACACAAAGCAGAATGGAAGTCATAGTAACTCAATTGATTTTAAATGATCTGTAAATAGTTTTGCTGCAAACCAAGCTGTCTAAGCATCAAGCAATCACATTTAAATTACCATAATAATTACATCAAAAAGGCAGGCACAAGCTCGATTGTGTTCAAAAGTGAGAGATATGACCTTGTTCTTCTTCACCAAACTCTTCTGCTGGATTATCCATCTTCTTTCTCAGATCTGCCCACATCGTATTCGGCGAAGCCACATATTAGAAATAAAATCACAGTGCCAGAGGATGCAAGAGGTGAGAGAGGAGCACCTAGTAGAGGTTTGTGGACTACATCTTTATGCCACACCATATCCACATCCCTAGCGCTTGACGTACTTGCTGCTATTGCCGTCTCTACCTTATTTCCTCCATTGCCGGTTCGTGGACTACCTCTTCAGGACACGCCGAATACATATCTTCTCCTGCACCAGCTGGTAGTCTCGCCCTTCAATCATGCCGCTAAAAAATGAAAAGAGAACACTATGATCAAGTTGATAAGGCTTACGACTGTATGTGAGGACAGCAAATAATTCATGCTTATCAACACCATAGTGTACAATTTTAGCACAAATCACATCATCGTTCTGGAAGAAAATAGGTGGAAGCATAAGAAAGCAATTCAAAAATCTCTGCAGAGGCACTCACATGGTAAAATCCAAAACATTGAAAGCAATATATTATGTTTGTGAAATGTACAGGATTCAAGAAACTGAGTGCCGTCAAAAGTAGTCTGCTATCCATATCCAGAACTCCAGTTCTATCATACTCGCTAAAAGTTTTATTGGTTGAGATCATTTTTGGATCACCCACCAGCAAGTATGCATGGTTCATATGTGAAGAGAAACTGACAATTACAAACAATAACCAATTAGCCAACACATGAAAAACTATCCTAAACCACTATGACTACTATTCACCAATACCATACATGATAGCACTGTGCTATAAGTTTCTTCATGATTCACCATATAAAAAGATTATACCTCTTCTACATAGCAGCACAAGACGTTTACGCAAGATGAAAAGAGTAAGTTTAATTTCTTTTCACCTATTTCTTATCAATGGAGATGGAAAATGCTCTAGTCTATTTTTAATGTTTTATCTTGTCCACCTATTTGTAGATAGGCCTTTTTGTAACATGACAGACTGAAATTTATTAAGAGACAGGAAACTTTTATTATCTGATCGAAAGAACAAAAGTTAGTAAATATTTGCTACAAGTACCCGACAGGAACAAGTGCAGCCTCAGTCTTTTTCAGAAGGCTAGTACATATTACAAACCAGGAAACGATGGTTGAAATATGTGCTATGATGCAGCTTCTGAAACACGGGTTCATGGTTGGCCACGATAAGTGTCAAATGTTTTCTCCTTTTTATTTGTCGTCCATTAGGGTCATAGCTGATGGTACCTTATAAACAGAATTTTCAGAACAGATTGCAGCTTGTATAAGATGGACAGGTTTAGTTAGTATCATATTCAATCGAAAAGCAAAATAATCATTTAACTATTTACATGTCTAGATCCAAGATTTGAGAAATCAATAAAGTTCCCACCCCAGAAACCACAGTGGAAGCAAGTAAATAACCCAAGCTTGGTGTCGCACCACAATAAAGAGGATCATAAAGGAAAAATATAGAGGATCATACAGAATAATCAGGAATCTGTACACACAGCTTACTACAGTTTACTCATTCTTCATAATCAATCAACATGCTTGATGCCGCACCACAATAAGTAGCACATGGATATTCTAACTCACAGGACAACCTATATAATGTCGGCTTGTCTTGCATTTGCACCTCTCATTGCATCGACCACCAAGGTAACATAAAAAAAGCACGCCAACCAAGATAAACTAAATCATGGACTTGGACAGGAAAATCAAAGAGAGGGAAAACCTGTGGATGGGTTAGTCGATAGCAAGTCGCCGGCGAGGAAGCCCAGGTCTGGCCGACAACACCCGGCCCCACACACAGTTCAGAAGCACACTCTACTACATAATCAGATGGCATGAAAGTACCAACAGCGACCAACCAAACCGAATAAACCACATGAATGGTTGTGAATGAAGCCAGAATCATATGCATCTCAGAACTGACCAAATTTAACTGATAATTCAAGATACTAAAGATCTGCTCTGCATTTTCGACAGTGAAAATAGTAAAGATCTCAAATGCAATAAAACAACAAGGAAGCAAACAAGTTGCACATGATTTAAATTACGTCGCGTAACTTCTAAAGTTTTCCCCTTATATGACAACCTTCTTCCCAGCAAGAGTCATTACAGTATTTAGATATCTTGTATGAAAAAGATCAAGAACTAAAAACTACATTCGGCAAGACATCCTCTCTACAAAAGGAAATTCCTAGAGCAAACATAGCCGATTCAGTGCACATATCTCCAAGGCTCGAGTAAGGAAATTGTCAAAAAAGGAGTAAACTGGATCGGAAGGAGCTGCAATACCTACGGATGGGTTGGTGACTGTGAGGTCGACAAGGACGCCTATCCAAGTATGTTTCTTCTGTCATAAGCTTTTCTTTTACTTCGTCATGAAGCTGTGAAAAAAGCCATCTCGGTATGAGCTTTCGAGCTTTAAACCAACCATTTTCATGAATAAATTAGTTGCTTCAGTTCTGTTGGGCTGTATCATATAACAAAGAACAGAACAAAATAGAAGTTTCTCTACCAAAGTTGTAATTATCTTGAGTAAATGGAAGTTCAGATAAATGAGAATCCTTGAGGCAAACACGAATTAAAAAATCAGCCATCGCAATCCTCAATGTCCGCTGTTCCTCTCTCTATGGTCAGGCCATTACAACCAAAACAGAAGGTATCACAACTCATAGGCATCTGAAGTTCTGAACTGTAGGCAAAGCATAGCTAGCCATCAACGTCTTATCTAACACACCAAAACTATCCAAAGACCAGCACCAAATTATACCCCATCAATAATGAAGGCCCACCAAAGACCAAAAGCAAAGCAGCTAGCAATAATATATAATCCAGGAACAACAAAACTATTGAGACCATGGATCTAAAGCCAGTGAAGCCACTCTGTAATCCAAAAACATTCTGACAAGATGGACCAACCCTGTGAAGCACGACAGGGGGTAACGGCTATGTCAGCATGGCACCAGACATAATTATCGTTACATCCTTACAATTAATCTTCATATGGAGTTATTTATGTTAGAAAGACGGTTCCAAAGCCAACACCTCTCCTTTTGCATCTGTATCTACCACCTCTCCTTTTGCATATGTATCGACCATCAACCAAAATAGCTAAAAGGGTAGATTGAACACATTGCACACACAAGGAGCATAAACAAAAGTGTGGGTTGAGCAGAAAAATCAAAGAACAAGTGGGGAAGAAGTTACAATACCTGCGGGCGGGAAAAAAGCATTGGAGTGAGGGGAGGCATACTGGGATGGCGGGCACCATCTACACAAATATAATGCCTCTTGATTCAGTTTTAATGAGGTGTGTACAAAGCAAAGGCAACATAAAGTTGAGCTAAAGAAAATAGTGAAGATTAACCTGGGAAGAATGTGAAAACCAAGCTGCAAGTAAAACCATAGCTTCATTCTGCTTTTGTTCTTCTGAAAAGTTACAACTTAAATTAGCATGCGTTGAATCGAAGGACACAATTGAACAAAATTTAAAAGTATCACTCATGCTAATAGCATATAAAAGCAGATCATTCCAATGGCAACAAACCATCACGTCATACTAACCATTATCCATTCCAGCAGCAACAGATCTGCACTGGAGGTCTATAACGAATTAACCATACAAGGCAAGTTGAGAATATTTCCAGGGGTACCAATATCGAACAGGTTGAACACGACATGAAAAAAGAAGAGCACGAGTCTGGACAAAACATACCTGCTCCCAATGTATTGTGCCAAAAACAGGGTCCACGGGAGAAGTTTCACCTTGTTCTTGACTCTTCCTCAAGATCGTCCCTCTTATCTTCTTCATAAGATCTGCACATATCATGTTCAGAAAAATTGTAAATCGAGAAATCAAAATCAGGAAACAAAGAAATCAAGAGGCAAAAACTTGGGAGGAAGAAGATGACAGGGCCAAACCTAGATTGGGGATGAGGAACAAAAACCAGCGGTAAGTGGTCGGGAGTGATGGTCGGCCCCACACCACCGCGACCCGAGCGCCGCTGGATCTCCGGCCTCGCAGCACCTTCCCCATGTCCGTCCTGCTCACCCTCCCCCTGGTCCTCATCCTCCATACCCATCACAGAAATCACACCGCCCCTGCTCTACCATGGTGTGACCTACTCACAGCAACACCAGATCAAGAACATGGGGAGGCGAAACCACTGTGCACGGCAACGCCGGTGGGGAGGCACTGCCTTGCGGGGACGGGATAAAGAGGCGGCTGGAGGAGAGATAGCTAGAAGAGGAGAGAAACCAATCATCAATATCTGCTGTTTAAACTTATGTGCGTTTTCTATAGTAGCACGCGTACTATATTCGTAAATTTACACTGAGAATTGTATGCCAATTAATACTATGCACGTTATGTTTGCAAGAATATGGGTCAGTTGGACTTCGTTGCATTGTACAACATCAGACCCCCAAGATGATGCATTGTGCATTATTACACCTAAAACATGGTGATAAATATGGGTCACATAATACATGTTAATTCTAGCTGATCCATGTTCATTTTTACATGAAAATTCAAACCAACCGAAATTTCTTGAACGAAAGGCTAAAATTTCGCCCATCCTCGAAATTGTCGAAATTTTGGAAATTGAACATATAAATCTAGCTAGACTACCCGCAAAACTTGGCCGTGGAAGGGGACGATGGCCGTGGCGTCCATGCATAAAGCAAAAATATTTGGAATTGCATCATCTACAAAATAGAGCGGAAAAACATCAACTGGTCCTGTTTGAATGAGTATCTAGTAGCCTACCTTGACAAAGAAAATTAACTGAATCATAGGTGGCGTCGAGCTGCTGAGGCAACGATGACGTCCAGATCGTGGCGTCCATGCAAGGAGTAGGTCAGCCTGGGGACGGTGATGGTGTTAAGGCGGCCGCGTCCGCGTGTGGAGTGGACCGGTAGTGGTCGCGTCTAGGCGGTGGATGCCGTGCGAGAAGTAGAGCGCAGCCGAGGAGGCTTATAGGCAGTCCACGTCGAGTGGATCCGGCCGGTGAGGCGGCTTGCGCCGTCGGAGCGAGGGGAGGTGGTAGACGCAGTGAAGGGCGTCGGCGTTGGATGGTGAGGAGGCAACGTTGGCTGGTCTGGATGCTGCGGGCGAGGCGCGTCATGGCCCATGTTGGAGATGACGTTAGGCAGCGCTGGAGCCTGTAGCGGTTTCATATTCCACGATCGTGATGACTCGTGGGCGGAATATTGCAGGATAGTGGCCCGAGCACTGCTCGTTGCTACGCCACTGGGAAAATCTCGTACTTTGCTAATTAGGGATTAAGGGCTATCATTAGAGCACTAGACGTGTTGAGGTGCTCACCATTGAAGCGATGTGGGCTGTTAGATTAGCGTGGACTGATGGCCAAGATTTATTGGATTTTGCCCCTTTGGGTCTTTTTATATTGGTATAGATAATAAGTTCACTCATGTCACTTAAGCACATTTTTTGTCCATAATGTATGTTCCAAATATATGAGTTTTTGTTTCGTTTGGTTGCTATGTCCTTTTGTAGTCATGAAATTGCAAATGGTGTCTGTATTTCCTGAAAATAGCACGAAACTTAACTTGTCTAAGACAGTGAACCTTGTAACTCTAAGTTTATCTTCCTTGTTCTTCAATAGTGCATACCGCAGGAGGTTGGGAACCATTTGGGGAGCATGATCTCTGAAACCATCAAACTAGAAGCTCCTAATGGCATATTTCATATTGGAGTGTGTAGAAAGACGGGTGAGCTAGTTCTTCAGTCTGGCTGGGATAAATTTGTCGCAATGCATCACATAGAAGAAAATTATTCTTTTTGGTTCGTGTACCGTGGGAACTCTACCTTTAAGGTTCGTATATTCAATTCCAATGATCATGAGATGACTACTTCCTGTTCTCAACCACCTCAGAGCTTTGGGGGTGTTCCATCTGCCGCAACTTGCGATCATCATGTGCTGAATGGTAAGATTGATTATAGTATTCTATGTTATTCTTATGAGAGTTGTGCTATGTTATTCTTATGAGAGTTGTGCAAGCTGCTTTTCAGGATATGAAGCTCACATGCTGAATGAGCGTGCATCTGTGGAGTTTGGGGTCGATTTGGAACCTCATAGCTCTGGCAATCTCGAGGGGCCTTCCCAGCATTCCTACATTTTAGCTGCAGGGATAACTCTAGGTGCTGTGGAGACGAAGAAAGTTGAGGAGAAAGTCCAAGCAATTCAATCTGCACTTCCTATCTTCGTGACAGTAATGACCAAAACCTGGGTTAATGGCCGTAATTTGGTGAGTTCAAATACCTATTGTTTTTAGATTGCGTTGATTTGTTAACGAAATCTGGGGACGCACTTGTGCAATTACATTACAAAACCTGCGCATAACTAATTTCTCATCTAAAAATGCATCGAAACCTGTTAATGCATAAACACCGATTGTATTGTGTGGATCACTCCCACTGAAGTAGTGAGACATTGATCTTACATTTGGAATTTTCATGTAACGCCCGTGCATGTTTCATCAGCGCTTCTGCCGTGAATACGGTTCAAGATACATTCCACCTATGAGGAAAGGAAAGCCTCTCATGCTCCAGGCAGAGGGAAGAACGACGGAGTGGCCAGCCAGATTGGGAATAGATGCGACTAGAGTGAACTGGATTCGTCGTGGCTGGAAGGAATTCGTCGCCGGCAATGACGTGCGGGAGGGGGATATCTGCCTCTTTGAACGGGCAAAGAGCACGACACGGCTTAGGATGACGGTCCATTTCCTCCGCAAGTCAGACATGGAGGTGTAGCTCAAGCCCTAGTATGGTTCTAACCGTGGTACCCTGCCATGGCACTGCCTTGACATGACAGTGAGTGAACTTGTATCTAATTTGGGATAGGTTGGACTTTAGTCTGCCTCTAGTTAGTAGTGTACTGTCTGATGCTCATATGCATATTGTTTGTGATTAGGAGGATGTCTTCAGGTGATAACCTTTTCCCCCATGAGACGCAAACATCATTATGCTACGTGCATGCTCTGTTCAACTGGGATTATAGCGCTTGTTCATGAATATGAAAAACTGTTTGGTTGGACTGCCATGACATGATTTTTTGCTCTAGTATCAAGCCGATGCCTGCTACTGCTTAGGATTGACAAGGCTTGCATACGCATACCTGAACCAATTCCAGCGCGGCAGGTCACCTTCTTGCGAAAGAAACGAGCCTTTTTTTTTTTGCAGAGTAAAAAAGTTGTGCATGAGGTATGCCGGTGTGGCTGAGACAAGTATCTTGTGTCAATTTTCTGGACAATAATAAGCTGTAAAAGGTTCTAAGCCAGTTCTCAGGTTCTCAGGGAAACTCCGGCCTGTCAAAAGCCTTTTGGAAGTCTAATTTTAAGACCATCATTCCTAGCTTCCTCTTAACCGCTGTTTGAACCATCTCATCTCGGAGGCGCGGATGAAATTTTCCATAGTAATGAATCTGCCCCTAATAAATACTGACTGCATATATATATATATGATGAATAGGATCTGGGATAAAGTGTTGAAGCCGACTGCCCAGCACCTTTTGAGATAATCTTAACTAGATCGGCAACGCGCGAGGGTGCCGATCCCAACGATATGGTCAAGTGACGGAAGATCAAACGGCATGATGCATTTATACGAAGGCAAGTTTAGAACATGTAACAGGATAACCGATTATCGGGTTCAGGGCTAAGAAGAAAACATTGGCACCAGAGGCGATATAACTATAAAGCCATAGTTAGGCATACAATAGATAGCTTGGTTCAATTGCCTCCATGAGTGCCATTCCATTTGAGATGCGACGCAAAAAATGACCAACAAAATACCATGACGTTTGTCATGCTTCCGGATGCCTCTGTTTTGTGCCTACCAAATTTGGCAAAATTTCTCATATTCTTAAATATATCACTTTACATATGAAAACTGATACATGCACACATATATAATGAAATTAAACTTGACTAATGCAACAACAGAGTGAAAGTCTCATGAATATGGGAAGAAATGTTACAAATGTTCTGCATCCTTTTGACACTACCAATCCAAAGTGATCATTTCAATGGGCAATTTTTTCACAAGCCTTATTTAAATTATGTGTTTGATAAATAACACTGGCTCTGAACTGTACATGACCATAAAAAGTGCATACATAGATCATTTTCCTATGATAATATGATATACAAAAATCCTTGATAAATAAAGTGTATCTATGTCAATAGTACTTTCTCCGTCCCGAAATATCTGTCGCAACCGACACATTTTGAACTAAACAACATTTTTCAATTACATCCTTATACAATTCAAAAGTTGGCAATCCGCTCCTCCCTCTCCCTCGTGATTCGCTCCTTCCTCGCGTCGTCGCCTACAGAGCTCGCCGCCGGCTCCAGGCCTCTGCTCCTCCCTGCAGCTCCAGACCTCTTCTCCCCGCAGCTCCAGGCCTCTGTTCCTCCCTGCAGATCGCCCCAGGCCTTGCCCCAGGGAGCGCTTCGTAGGCCTCTGCTCTAGCGAGCTCAAGGCGTGGGGGAGCTCCAGGCGAGCTCCAGACATGGGGGAGGAGCAGCAAGAGGCAGTACCTTGCTGCCCCAGGTTTCTCGCATGGCCTCCCTAGGCTCGAGGAACCGCAAGGCCGTGCTCCACGTCCAAAATGCCTCCACCGTGCTCCAGGACGCCTCTGCTACGTGATGAGGATGGTGAGAAACATGACTTGATCTATAAAAGAAGTTCTGTCTAATGTAACCTATAAATCGACAAGTTGGCTTGAAAATTGACAAATTGATCTGTAAGAGAAGTACGCCTGAAAAAATTAAAAATTACAGTACACATGCAAATTGATCCAACTCTTGCAAATTGATCTCTCATTTTTTTGACCAGGGTTAAATGCCAATTTGCTATCAACAGGTAATTCTAATTTCAATTTGGTTTTCTTCCATGTATGCATACAATTAGGAGTATAAATGATCTCTAGTTCTTTGAAATGGTGATTGTTGGCGTTGCATCACTAATGGTGCAGTATACTGTAGTGAAGAGAAAAATGCAGCAAAGGCAGGAAAGAGTTACTACTACAGGCGAAATTGGTCACTGCTATACCTTCTTAAGTGCGCAATGAACTCCTGCTTTGCCATGTGCTTCATCTCCTCCAGCAAGGCGGGAAAAAGTTACTGCAATGCAACACAAGGACCAGCATGAATCCATCAAGGAATTGGCACACGTCCAAACGATGCAAAGCTTGAGCACGCAAGAGTCACCAAAATTGTGTGCATTGTGAACTGAATTAAAATTCAGTTGATTTACTCAAAATACATTCATGGCAGTAAAAAAGAAACCATGAGCAGAATCATGAGATGATGGCACTACATATTGTATCAAACATTTTTTGATATCAAACATGCTTGGAGTACTCAAAAATTTAAATTCATAGGTACTGTGAATTTAACTCCATGTTTTAGTAACTCCAACAAATTCAAAGTTAACTGAACATTTAAATCCATGGCGTGCTACTTGCTCTGAAACATCCATGTTTTAGTAATGAATGCAACCAAGAGAAGCTCTTCAATCTCCTAAGGAGACAACAATGTATAGAAGAGAGACAGCCACCCCGTGTAAATTTGAGCACAACCATCTCAGAGAGCTAAACCACCTCTCCACACATTCTTTGCAAAGAAGTTTAGTGCCTAAGAAGAATATGATCTAAATTCACTGAAATAGGCAAAACATGCAGGTCCCAATTCCATTAAATCAAACAAACCTAAGGATCCATGATAACTAAAGTAAGAACCTAAAAGAGTAAATAAACCTAGATGAGATTCAAAAATAAGCAGACAGAATGGACACAGGCCAAGCTGACCAGCCCAGTTAATGTCTTCCTAACAACATACTACTTTAGGTACAGACCAATGAACATTTTTTATAAACCATATCTAGAACGATATTGGTTTGTCTGGTAGCCCCAACAACACGACACATGCGAGCAGTTCCAACAAACAAATCAACACGCTACTTCTAGGACATAGCAGAAAGGTACAAAAAATCCTAGGTCCTACCAGGATCTATAGAAGTGACCAAAATGCCCAATTCCAAATGCCAAGCAAGCACAAAAATAAAGGCAGGGGATAATAGTTTTAGATGCTAGGCTTCTACCAATAAGAGAACAAAAAGCAGATACATCCATTGTCCAAACAAAATCTAACAGCAGGAAGAAATGTAAGTCTAGGCCTGGAAAGCATAGAAGAGAGGGGGAGAAGGGGACAACCTGCAAAGAGGTGGTCGAAGATAGAGCACGACAAACTGGCCAGAATAACGAGCACCTGTAGACAGCGGACCAACCTGCAAGGGGAAAAAGAGGAAAAGGTACAACCATGGATGAGCTGCAGTTAACCAGAATTTAGACGGTCCAAAACAAATAAGCACCGCGCCAGAACAACCCATTTTGCCTCTGCTTACTAAATACTAATAGGGCTTGTCATATATATCTTTCGAGTATAAAGGACAAACAGAATACCGACACGGGTAAGAAGAATAAACAACAAACATCCTGTGGTGATGAAGAAATAACTACAGATCGGGAGCGCGCCTTGGTATATGAGCATCCAATAACTAAATATGGAGCTCAGGAACGACCCTCGACATCTCAATATTAAAGTAACCATTACATTGTCCAAACATATAATTCTCACCTCTGTTTTTGAAGATTAACTGACACGATATCTGAATAGTAGCTACAGGCTCAAGTTTGACACAGTCAAAGAAGAAAGTGGGAGGAGCAGCTAGCAATGGTGAGCTAGTTCTACCTGCTTGAACTGACCCCTCCTCTTGGAGAGGACGATGATCTGGTCATTGAGCTTCTTCCAGGCGCCATCCTTGAAGCAGATCTCGACGATCGGCGGACTTCCTTCTGCCGGCCAGGTGGCACTACATCTCCACGCTAAGGAGCGACGTGATCGCCGCGTCGAGGCTGCTGCCCTCCTGCATCAGCAAAAACAAAATATCTCTTTTATATCAGTAATATCAATAGGCAACAGGTCATGTTTCAAAGGGTTACAGGTTGATACATCAAGGGTCACAAAGCAAGTACTGGCATTTGACAAAACAGAGAAGGCCACACACTGTAGTACTACACATGAATAAACAGCCAGACACACAGTGATACCTCGGTAATGTTATTTGGTGGAGTAATCCTTGGGAGTAATCACCAGAGCTCAGGCAAATAATTGTGATGGTAAAGGTGGATCTAAAGATTACACAAATCCTAAAACAAAACAGTGCCCTGATTTTAGCTCTCGACCATCAACTACTACACCACTTGACCGCATCGGTTGTTTTAGATGGAAGAGAATGTGTGGAGCCTAGGAGAAAAAAAATCCTTCGCCAACCACATACTGCACCTCCAAATCCCCAACCAGTAAGGAATAATTTTACACTAAGGGTACCAAGACTGAATAAAATGCTTTCTGGTTCACTTGTGTGCTGATCTAATATATGATGTTGTTCTTTGTTAAGTTCAGAAAAATAGGGATATTTAGCAGGAACAGGGGAGGTTCAGATTAAGTTCAATTTGTTGGGTCAATGACCTTTTAATGATATTCTGCTCAGATTGCATACTTGACTGCTTCATTAGACAACACAGAAACTCCATATTTAATAGTCATCGCAAATAGGAGATACATCAGATTAGTATCATGTTCTAATTAGAAAAGAAGAGAAGGTTAGAGACCTCAGTAATCATATAGAATCATGGTCATAGAGGAAACAATCTGCTCAACATATATAGATACAAGAATACATAGTGA